AAAATAAAAAAAAAAACCTATGAATATTTTACTGGGCAATAAATTACAAGCAAAAATTGAGATTCCACAAACACTCTCTTCTTTCTTTCTTTCGTCTACCACTAAGTGCTTTTTGAAGACATAAAGACAGCAGCAAAAATGGAGCATACCCGTCGGAAGGAGCAACCATCCTGGCTTAATCCCTCTGTGCACGTGTGGACCACAAAAAACGACATTTCTGTCGTCAATCTTCGTGACGTTACTGAGCAACTGTGGGTTCCCAAATCTGCTTTCCGTGGGGACGAGGCGCCACAGACTCCTGAGGAAGACAGCCTTCGAGCAGAAAGTGTCAGTAGCAGTAGTGAAAAGGCCCCAGAGCCAATTAATCAAGAGCCCCTAGGTGCGATTTTGGCTCTCATTCAGCGCCGCTCTGAAAACCACAATACGTGTTCGAGTGCCTCTCCTGCGCTTCCAACTCAACCATACAGAGGTGGCGGAAACCCAAATACTGAGCCAGAGACAAGAGCACCATCGTTTCCAGAGCCAACACCCGCCAAGGCAATGGATGTTGAGTTTGTTCAAGGCGTCAATTTGCCGGGAGAAAGAAATATAACTTCGTCATTGCAAGCACAACAGAACACTGTTCAGACCGTCGCGCTTTTTCATGACCCGGTATGGGGCGATGTTGGCTCCTCCTACGATATTGACTCCTTCACGTCGAAAGAAAAGGAGAAAAACGATATATTTTCTAGCCTCAAACTTTCAAGTTTCATGGAGGATGCCAAGAAGAACGAAGGTAATACGACGGAATCAACAGCGACGGTAACCGAGGCCCCCCCACCATTTACTGCAACAAGCGCAGTGAATGAGGTGATGTTTCAAACCCCGGCACCTCCGACTGTTTTGACATCACCGCCGCAAATCGCATACCCACCAGGCATCGGCCTAGGCTCTGCAGGATGGACAGTGGCACCGCAGCATTCCCCTGGGATGGCTATGCAGCCTTTTCAGTTCCTCAGTCTGCCAATACCGTTTATGTCTCAGGGTGCAATGGTAGCCATGCCACAGGCATATCGCATGCCATATCAGTTCTATCAAATGCATCCACAGGCTCCCCACCATACCACATTGCAGCATCAATCTGGTGGAGCATACAAACCGGCTCCGACCCAGGAACTTCACCAAATGCAGCCACCAAAAAATGTAGTCCCACAAAATCCATCGCCGCGTCCTGGAACGAATGTTGGGGCTGCACCTTTTGTTCCAGGAGGGAAGAGTGTGTGATTGTGGATTAGTGGTGCTGATGGTTGGTGGTGATGTTGGGATGTGCGTGTGTGTGTGTGTGTGTTGGGGGNGGGGGGGGGGATATCTCTCTCCATCTTGGCGATGCTTTGCTTGACAGAAGGATGGTGATACGAACCTGGGGGGACTGATGTTTCCGAGGCAAGTTTGTGGCTAATTGGGCAATTAATCGATGAGTAGTAGGCGTATTTTACCTTTTACAATGACAAGGCGTGAGTAAACATAAGAGTGCTTTAAAGCATTGTGATTCTTGAATTATTTCTGCCTTTACAAACCTGATTCCTCACCTAAGCACTGCGCTTCTTATGTCTCTGCTCAGTAGGGAGAGGTATGCCGACACGGACTAAATCACAGACACCTGCTCAGGTGCGGATGGCTGATATTATCACCGTGTATGTTCAGCACCTCATGAAAGTACAGTCTGAAATGAGAGAGGAGCCGACCGAATTGGAGGTTGCATCACCCACTGAATCCTTTCCATCCTTCAAAATTTTTTCTGGAGATTTTGTACCCAATATATCGTTGGAGAAGTACACGCATCGCCTTGTAACGTACATACAGTGTTCACCCGAAGCATATATATTTGCCTTGGCATATATTCGACGACTATTCTTCCGCAGGTTCCCGTTGCACTCGGGCAATATCCACCGCGTACTCCTTACCGCCGTAGTTATCGCAGCGAAAACAAGAGACGACTTGTACTTTTCGATGAGTTACTACGCGCACGCTGGAGGTGTAAGTAACCGCTACCTGAACATGATGGAACTTCGCTTCTTGGCCGACTTGATTGATTTTAGGGCGGAGGTATCACCTACAGAGTACCGACTTGTCTGTAACTCCATCATAACGGCTAAGTCCTTCCAAAGGGTAAGCAGCAATATGTCCGACCTGTGCGACGTCACAGCTAGTAACACTCCTTCAGAGTTGGAAGACACCCCTTTGGCTGGGAAGCCACAATGGATCACGGAGTGCCAGTTGCATTGGTAATGTCATTGGAGTCTCTTACGACTAACTGGATGAACGTGGAACTCTTTTTACAGAAAGCAACTGGAGGATAAGAAAAATAACTTTATTACCAAAAGCTTAAAGTAATCCCCCAAAAAAACTTGCAGTATATATATATTTATGAAAATATATATTTTTTTTTTTATGTTGTCAATAGATTGAGTCACAGTCAAATCATCGAGGAAAAGAAGAAAACAAATATCTGCAGTGAACGCTGTGTTTAAGGATGATTTCTTCTGCATGGAATCAAAAAAAAAAAAATGCATATATCTGCTTCAACATATTAATGCTTTTTTTGGTTTCTTAGCCTATTTTTGTTTTTTGTTTTTTTGTCTTCGCGTGCTTGCGTGTGTTTCGGGGCGGGGGGTAATTGCACCTACCATCAACTGTCTTCCCGCCCACACGACAAGGCGACACAAGGATGTCGAAGGGGTACACGATCCACACCTTGATGAAGCAACCGCAAGAGACGGTAATAAATGAGAATCTCATTCGGGAATGTATTTATCTTGCTCCTGCCTGCACTACGGACGAGGAGCGTCTCCGTTTCGTAGGCGCACGAGAGGAAAATCAGCGGCAGCAGCGGTCAAAGGCTGCGATGGAGACGATGGAGTTGCATAAAGTTGCAACAATCCTCGCATCATACCGGCGCATTGGAAAAATCGAAAACCTTGTTGGTCTTGGCAACCTAACGAAGCTAGCGCTTGACAACAACAAAATCTCGGCGATCAGTAACTTGAGCCATTTGAAGAAACTCCAGTGGCTCGACCTCAGTTTCAATCAGATCACCGAGATGTGTGGCTTGGGGGAACTTTTAGAACTGGAAACACTTTCCCTATTCTCGAACAGTATTGCTGTGGTTCAAGGTATAGACACATTGACGAAGCTTACCTCGCTGAGCATAGGGAACAACTGCATTGAATCCTTAGAGGATACAGCCCGTTATCTACACCGCATTGAAAGCCTTCGCATCCTCACGTTGAGGGGAAATCGTGTAGAAAAACAACCACACTATAGGGTTCGCCTTCTTGCGTTTGTGCCCAAGTTGCAGTTCCTTGATGGCTGCTTTGTGCAACCGGATGAAGTGCTAAAAGCCCGGGAAGAGCAACGGGAGAATTTAATGCCTATTGATGAGGAAGATGAGCGTAAAGCTGCCGAGGCAAAGGCCCAACAGGAGACAGAAAAGGCAAGGAAGGATTACGAGCGGTTCAACTGCCCAGATGAGACGAAGCTGTATGACGATCTCTTCCTTCTGGAGTCGGATGGTCGGAGCTTCGCGGAGATCTTGCGCAGTGACGTCCTTGCGGCGCCGTCCAAAGACTTGACGGAGAAGTTCCAGACAGAGTTCATGGAACGGGCCAAGGAGCTCTCTGAGGCAATGAAAGCAATACGGGCGCGACGCGATGAAGACGAGCGCGCCTTTGAAGTGGCTGCCACGCGCTACAAGCACAATAATGCGGAAGCGTGTAAGGCACTCATAAAACAGTTCGAGAAGGAACTCAAGGCGTACATACCTCGCAGCATGTGGGGTCGTATGGGCGAAATCGATCCGGTGGCGCCCGACATTGTTGCCGGCCTGGAGAGACGCCTCACTGAGGTGCGACACCAGCTGTTGGAGAAGGAGGCGGACCAGTACGACGTGCTGGAATCCCTCGATGCTGCGACGATTGCGAAGTGGAAAGGCGATAGCGTGGATGTTGTACTTCAGACTGCGTTCGAGGGCTTTCTCAAAATGGAAGCAGACTTTCAGGTTGGACTTCGACAAGTGTTCGATGGACTCTTTGATCAGCGACAGAAGCAGGAACACCAGACAGAGACGTACCACACTGTGAGGCAAGACGAGAGCATCATCGCAATTATTGACAACAAGGAGGAGTACCAAAAAATTCTAGGGGACTGGTTTGAAGTGCGGCGAAAGCGTTTGGAAGAGCTTGAGCAAATGTACATTAGCAGCGAGGAGAAACATCTCAACGAGCGCTCTGCGGGGATTTTGAAAGAGGAGCAGAACCGTCACAGAGCCCGCTTGAACGAGATTCACGAATTTGTGGAGCAGATGAGAGATCTGCTGGAATGCGCGCGCTGAACT